TGATTTGGACCATAAAATGAGTCCCAATGCTAAGCTGAATAATAATACTAATAAAAGTGGAAAACAGCATACAGCATGGAAGCCAAGAACATATGCTGAATGGGAAGCCCTTTGGTAGATTAATACATTCATACGTAGTCCTTCCATGATAGCAATTTAGCTGGGAAAGCACCAGAATATGTAAATCATCACTTGAGATACTTCAAAGATGCTGGCCACCGCTGACTCACTGACTCCTCCTGCTTCCATCCCCTTTCTCCATTGCTCCCAATGCCTCTGTTCTCAGTTGACATTCAGAAGGTTCGCTTAGTCTCACAGGAGCCTAACTACTTCCACATTCAAATCAAAACACTCTGATCGTATGTGCCGAGGAACCTCAGCAAGCTTCAGGCACTTTGCTAGTACCCACATCCTTGATCAATTCACATTTTAAAAATCCCCTTTCCACTTTATAACCACAATAAAAACTGCTCTGCAATAAAGTACTGTTTTATTATTTTTTTTTAAATTGAAGAGAATGTACAAGGAGGTATGGACAGTAGGGACATATAAAAGGCTATATTGCATGGCCTGAACAACCAAGTATTCATCACTCAAGTACACACATAACACTCAGCGAAGCAGCCTGGTAGGCACATGTTCCTGGAAAGGCAGGGACACCCAAGAGTGCCTATTTCAATGTTTCTACTTCTTTAACATGAAATTCGATTTGGCTGAAAAGTGAAGCAGTTTATTATTTCGTATAGTAAGAAAATTGGAATTGGTTCATTTAGCAGCTCAAAATCATCAGACATAGGTTCTGATGATTTTGAAACGTGTGTGTCTTGGGCCTGGAATTGTGACTCGTCACTGAAAAAAGAAATCAGACTTAGGTTCTATTCATTTTTTAACTCAACACTTAGGTTGTCTTGGCAGGATTGCATAATTTCTGCAGTAGTTCTATCAATACTTCCACAATATTGCCTCTAAATGTTGCCATGCTCTCCCTCTCCCTTTTTTATATCAGTCTTAAAGCTTGAAATCAGTACTTAGATGCTATCCCTGAGCTCTTTTTGCTTAAGGCTAGTACTCTATCACATTAGCCACAGTTCCATTGCTGGCTTTGTTGTTGTTGTTCTTGATTAATTGGAGATAAGAATATAGGGATACAGGTGGACCCATTGCAACAACGATATATACAAGATGCTATGTCAAAAAACAAACTTTACAATTTAGGTGGGGAAGGTAGGCAAGTGGGGGGAAGGGGGGAAGTGTAGTTGTGGAGATGGAAGGGAAGTGATGGTAGGGGAAAAACAAAGCAGGAGGCAACAATGCTTGATAAGAAATGTACACGTTACCTTGCTCATATAACTGTAACCCCTCTGTACAGTATTTTCACAATAAAAAAACTTATTTAAAAAATAAAAAATAATAAAAAAAGAATCTCAAAGACATTCCAGCCTAGGTTGGCTTTGAACCACAATCAATCCTTAGATCTCAGCCTCCTGGGTAGCTAGAACCTACTACTTTAGCCAAGTCCACAGCTTTCCCCCTCTTAAGGGAAGACAATAGGTCTCTCCTAAAAGCACCAAATAACTTTTCATGATAGATCACTGGGGTATAATTGTGTCATATATCAACTCCTAAGCCAATCACATAGCCTGGATAAGCAAATTATCATATCAATTATCAATCATCATAATCAATTTATCTGCTGAGAGCCATGACACTGAAATTACATCCAGTCTTCTTAAGAAAGAAGATGGTGGAGGAATAGCGGTTGTTTGGTTTTACAGTTTCTTCCATAAGGTCAGGTCCTTTGAGGGGTTAGGAGTATAACTTCAAACAATTCTGTATTCATTTCAGGCCTTCAGGACAGGTTTTTGAACAAGGAAATAACATAAGCACATAAATATAATTAAAATATACAGGTTTTTTTTTCTAGCATTTGATTCTAAAACTAGTTTTTATTTTTCAACACTTACATGTTATTTACACGTGTTTCACATGACAAAACTGTTGAACTAAAATTCCCTGAATTGCTGTGTTCTATGTGTGAGAATGTAATGAACAAGATGACTCCAGTTCTTCCTCTTAAGGGAGTCTTACATCCTAGTAAGTCCACCCCACAAAACGTCAGGTTTGACTCTTCTGTGAGGAAAATAAAGGAGGGAGAGGAGATAGTTCTAGGAGCTAAGATTATGCCTCAAAATGTAGAGCATCTGCCTATCAAATACAAGGTTCTGAACCCAAACTCAAATAGTGAAAAGGAGGAGGAGGAGGGGGAGGGGGAGGGGGAGGAGGGGGAGGAGGGGGAGGAGGAGGGGGAGGAGGGGGAGGAGGAGGGGGAGGAGGAGGAGGAGGGGGAGGGGGAGGGACAGGAGGAGGGGGAAGGGGAAGGGGAGGAGGGGGAGGAGGAGGGGGAGGAGGAGGAGGAGGGGGAGGGGGAGGGACAGGAGGAGGGGGAAGGGGAAGGGGAGGAGGAGGGGGAAGGGGAGGAGGAGGAGGAGGGGGAGGGGGAGGGACAGGAGGAGGGGGAAGGGGAAGGGGAGGAGGAGGGGGAAGGGGAGGGGGAGGGGGAGGGGGAGGGGGAGGGGGAGGGGGAGGAGGAGGGGGCGGGGGAGGAGATGGAAAAAGCTTGTTTTGTATTGTGTAGCTCAAGTGGTAAGCCTCTGGCTAGACGATAACAGTAAAGTGGATTGGAAGTGGTATAAACTAACTGACCAGGAAAGATTCTTCAGATAACACTTGAGGCCAAACAAAAAGGAATAGAGAGCCCCTGCCATGGGAGATGAACAGACTCTCTGAAGCAGAGGAAACATGTACAAGACCATAAAAAGTGAGCTACCTAAGAGGGAGAATGGTAGACAAGGCTGACTTGGGTGAAGAATGGATTTCTTAAGCCACTCACAATGAGGTTCACATAAATCACAAGGTCAGAGACCAAGCCAGTTAGGGCTCTTCTGGCCACGGTACAAGTTTATATGTTATTTCAAGGGTAACAGGAAGTAGTTTTCCACAAATAAGAAAGAAGCCATCTAAATTTTACTTTCTAGAAGCTCCTTTTGGCTTCTGTGTGAGAAGAAACGTAGAAGGGCGGTAGGCGGGCAGTGTTGGAAGGCAAAGGCTGCAGGCTAGGTGTGATCTAGTCACTTGGAATTGAGTGCAGAGATTTTTTTTAAAGGATGTTTTCTGGCATTGCATATTATAGGGTATGGTGACTAATTGTCAAGAATTATTTAGAGAAGTTGAACAAGCAGACATTGCAAAAGCATGCCAAGCAGATGCTTTAATAAGTACATGAGCTCTTTGAAGAGCTTGTTAAAATGCAGATTCTGACCCAGGAGGTCTGAGGTCAGGACCACAAGTGTGCAGTTCTAACATTTTTCCAGGTAACCTAAACACTTCTCATCTATCATACTTGGTAGGATTCTAGCAGAATGTGACGTCAACTCACATTTTCAGTGCTGTGTTCTACTCTCTTAGTCATGCTACATGCTCCACAAGAGTTACCCATGTGTTGCTAGTCAAACTGAATTAAAAAATGTTGGGCTCCTTCGTTGCACTAATTACATTTCAAATGAACAAGAGCTATGCATAGCTAGCAGCAATCACACTGGATGACACGTTTATGTTGACATTTTCCTTTATCAAAAAGGCCTTATTAAAATAACCCTGTTTCAGAGAGGAAACTACTTCTGGTGCTCCAGGTTGAGCTTGCCATATTACCATGTTTTTCTTATTTTGGTTTAATGAGATATATGATCTCTATCAGCTAAAAGCAAATTGCATGATGGAAGTAATCTGCAATCTCCATTTGTTTACCCTCACCAGTGTATTTCTGTTGTACAACCCGAAGTATCCCAGTGTCCAATTCGCATTGCTCTGGTTGTAAAAGCCTATTTGCCTTGGGTTGGGATAAGGGACAGTACTTCTTATCCATGTGATTCAGTTCAGAATAACTTTGTATATCAATCACTATTACTAACACATGTCAAGAGCCAGCATACCACAGGATATTTACAATATATATAGGTAAAGGTGCTCTTCCCAATGGAGTCTCTATGATGTCCAGATAAAGTCTGACTCTTCTAGTAGATATATCAAATGCCCAGACCTTGCCTCAGAATGAGGACATGTCAGGGAAAGCAAAACAAGAAATATACTCAGAACCTGGACAATACCTCAAACTTCTCTACAACTAAATTCTTAACACTCTCTACCCTTGAACACTAGTTTCTAGGGAAAATTTCTTTTTTTTTTTCCTTCAGCCAGTGCTGAAGGATTCTTGCCTATTACACCCTAATTTATGTTCTAATTTCCTCTCTACCGCTTTTGATCTAATCATTCAAAATCATAAATCACCTTGGTTGGTTTCATATCACAGATCTATTGGATGCCTTGTGAATATGTAACCTTTTAAATCAAGCATTTCTCTATTAACTTCAACATTAAAATTAACATGTTGAAGGATTGGGTTTATTTCCCAAGGAAAGCCATTTTTGCTCATTTCTCTGGATTTCTACACTTCAGTGCATACATATTATACAGTGATCAATCTTTTTACTTCAAGTCTTTCCTAATAAGTCCAAATTTCTTAGTTGGATATGTTGTTTACCTGATCAACCTGTACAACTCCAGAATATTTACTCTTTGACTTTCCTCACCTCTGTTGTAAAGGAACTCCCTCAAAGCCATTGAAGCTGTGCAGCTGCCCAGGTCAATGGGCTGGGGAGGGGTCTGGCTCACCCTCTTCCCACCCTGAGCTTTGCTTTCTGGCTTGTCCTGGTCTCTGACTCTGACTTTACCAGCTCAACAAGAGTCTGTGGGAATAGCAGCTGGAAGGTTCCCAAATTCTCACTTGTGCCTATTCAATCTCTATAATTACTTTATTTTTTTAAAAAAAGGCTCTATTCCTTCAAAGGAATAAAGGTCGGATCCTTACTCCTTTGTTGTGTGTTCAACCATGTTTTAATAAATCTGTTTAGAAAATAGGATTAAAAATACTCTAGAGGACCATGCACAGGATAAAATTATCTTTTATTAGAGATCTTATATTACATATTCCCCAAAAGATATAAAAATCTTCCAAGAGAAAATATCAAAACCTGTTGATTCCAAGGTGAGCAAAATAATCAAAATGAAAGCAGACATGTTCTTGCAGACAAAGAAATGTGAAAACATTTTAGCACAAGTACAGTAAACACATGGGAAGATAAACTGTTTTACATCACATTTTACAGCATTTTTGTTTTAAGGGAAACAAGGATAATTAGTTCTCAAACAATGCACTTATAACCCCAAATTAAAATTTCAGAAAAGGAGGAGGCGGAAAGTGGTGAACTTACTGTGTGGTCAGCTGAACACCTGTGATAATAAATGCAACAGAACCTAACCAAACAATTACAAGACAGATCACAACTGAAGTGTGTGGTGCCAGAGACACCAAATTAGCCATTTAAAAAAAATTATCATAACCCAAAGCAAAGATAGCCTCTCTTCAATTCCCTAATGCTATATTCTAAAAGGAACTTTAAAAAGCAGAAATTTGCTGGTTAAAAGGACTTTCTGCCTCACCTATGAACAGCTGGTGGTAACAACACACACTGCATGAAACATCAAGTGACAAGGGACATAGCCACCTTGAATACCCAGAAGTGGCAGAACCAGTTATTGCATCAGGTTTTTGTTTCCTCTGATCAGAATTTGCAGAGTGATTAAGCACATCCACTTAACCACAGAACACAGTGAGCTCCCATAGGAAGGAATACATTATAGATGCAATGAGAACACTGATCTTATTCCTGGGATTTACTTCCGGCAACCCCAATGCCTGTAGATGTCCACAAGAAGGAAGTGGCTATTGTTGTTGGTTCAGTTGTGTATCCCTCCCCTCCCCCAAGTGAGGGAGGAAACTTATAGTTCATGTTTATTGCATGAAATTATCCCCATGTAATATCTTTATCAGCACTGCTATTGTTTCCTTAATTATTAAAGGCAAAGGAGTTTATGAATGTAACATAACAGTAATTGTAGGAGCTGCATCTTGAGCAAAAAATCCAGATGATAATCACACTACATAGTAAAACAATAATGGGTTAAATTTCTCTATAAAGACATTGGAAGGACGAGAGGTAAACAGTAGCTTAAAGTCAGATAATACTAAATCTATTACACCCAACCAAGGATTTTTCAAAACTGTACAGATCCAAAGAATGGTTTCTATGCTACAACTGAATATTCTAAAGGTCGCTAATGTTGCTGTGATTTTAAAATCAAGGAAACAATAATGTGACACAAAATTTATTAAAAGTACTGTAATGGCACATGGGCTGAGACCTACACCTTGAGGTTACCACATACAAAAGTTCAGAACAGACTGAACAAACATATCCTTTATAAGATACATTAGGATGCACTACATGAACATGGAATTCAAAACGGAGTCTATTTTAAAGCATTATCTCTTCAGTATGGTTAACTACTGTGAAATGGAAACAGTATCCGGATTTTGCCTGTGACAAAATCCTTGTTTCAAGTTGCAGTTTCCCTGGCAGCAGCATATTTTAATTAAACAATATTTTTCTTCCTTGTTTTGTTTTCTGACATCTCAGTACATTCAAATAGTCAAAATGTTTAGAGTAATACGACCACAAATTTAATGAAACAGATCAGAATGTGGCCAGCATTGTCAGGCAAGTATTACCTAAATGTATGTGTCATAGAAAGTACCCATTCCCCAGCCCTAACCTCCCCAAGTCCTCCCACTTTCCCAAACAGTAATATGGACACCAAAAGATTTAACAAGACTTATAAAAAAATAAGGCACATTTATTTTGATATGATAATTTTAAAATAGAAAACCCCATCTCAGAACACCTGTATTCAAATTAGCTGTGTAAAAAGACACCTTGTGGTACCTAAAATAGGAGTAGGGTACCTATGGAATTGCTTCTTCTATTTTCGTGACAATGGAATAAATTGCACCTATCCCACATTGTCAAGTAATGAAAAATACGCTTCTTTTTCTTCTTCTTTTTTTTTTCCTAACATTTAAGTTGAATGGTTCAAAATTAGTTATCTTGGAAATACAAAGGGTAAGCAAAGGAAGGTCAAGATGTTCAGTAGAAAGAGGAATGAAAATCAACTATGTTCATCAGAAAGGTAGGGATTGCACTTTTCCGTCCATTTCAACACTTGAGATTTTTCTGACTTGCATCAATGATTGCAACCCTTTTGGCCACTAGCAATTACCCACCAACCTTTTATTCTATTTTGGTCAAATGAGTAATTTTTATAAAACTAACAAATGCTTAGAAGGATCTCTTTACAACCTCTAACGCAAACAGAATGAGTTAGCATTTAACCTGAGATACAGTCCGTTATGAGGTTGTCTTTGAACGTTTCTTCACTCGCTGCACTAGTTCCTATCTATAGTGGTAGTTCTTGGGATGGACTCTGAAAATAAAAAAAAAGAAAGAAAAGAAAAAGCAACCTGGTAAAGAGCATGGCTTTTTTTCTTTTCTTACGGCATTGGATTAAAAAAAAAAATCACAGAATTCTTGTTCTCACAGTAACCAGAAGCTATAATAATGTGCTTCTTTATTGCACATCAAATCAAGAAAGGTATAAAAAGCCAATGCTTGTTGATTCAAATTCAAAATTCAGGTTCACCTCAACCGAATTCGGAATGTGCTGATTTCCATGGGATTCAAGTTGATCTCACTTATATTTTGGGCTTCTGGAGGTGAATACATCAAGGATAATGATGAAGGAATCAGACTTTCAACAGTAATCTTGTTAAAAAGTTTCTGTACCAACACCTAAAAGGAAATGAGAGATATTTATATATTGCTATAAATCCTGAAGAAAAATTACAAGACATCCATATATTCAGTCTAAAATAGTATGTGAAAGAATATGTATGCCATGTTGAAGGTCACTTTGAAGGGAAATTAAAGGGGAATGTTAAATACATGCACAGACATGCTTGCATACGTATGGGATTCCTGGAGGGAAACTTAGCAAATTGGCTGTGGCCATGAGCAATGTGTTCTGCATTACTTTCTGTACTGCTGGAGAATTTTTATACTGCATAGGAACCACTTTTTCAAAAGAAGAGATGACATCTATAAGAGAACAAGCCCTCACAGTGCCTGAAGAGTTAAAAGCATTCTTACATTCTTTCAGTCATTATATATCTTTAATAATGTGGTAGTTGGTTCTTTTCTTTTTTTCCTTATTGGAACTGATTCAAAGATACACACAGGCACATTTCTACAGAAGTCTGTAACATTACTGAGTTTTGTTCCATAGGGTGGAAAGATCATTTGGAAAACTCAAACCCTGCCAGGTTATTTTAATATATCTCTGGATCATATTCCACACCCTCCTTCCCCTTGGACTGAAATGTTTTAGTGTTAGAATGCTCAGAGCCAATTATACTCAGATCATCATCAATAAGAAAGGCTGAATTCAAATATTACCAAAAAAAAAAAATAAATCCAGAACTTCTTGGTAGCAATTCTGTGGAAAGTCAGGCAAAAATCATAGAGAATCAATCTATCCAGTAGACTCATGCCTATTACCAGATTTTCTCTCTTTTTAGATCTTTCCCGTATGCATTTGGAGCACATGCATTGACTCACTTGAGTATGGCCTGGGGGCTCAGGTTGGTAGAAAGCCAGGCCATTTGAGCAGCATGATGGGTCAGACCTGCCTAAGGGTTGAACCAACCTGGCTATATCACAGCACGCTAAGAGAAAGTGGCAGGAAACTGGAAGGTCCTTTCCTTCCAAGCAAAGGCTAAGGACTGCCCACAAGACCAACTTGAAGAGAAATCAGAAATAGGAAGCCAGCCAGCAATGTTCCATCTAAATGTTCAGTTTGGCCTGAAGAGTGTTGACTCATGCAAATCTGTATTAATCAGAAGACCTAGACATATGTTTATTTCCCAGAAGGAATAAATAGATCAAAGTTTTGTACAGCTGGCTATGGGCTATGCTCAATTACTTCACTGACCACAGTCTCAGTGCTCATATCATCACTTCCTTATTGCTATGCCAGTCAGCTTCAGTTATTCTAGAATATTTCCTAGCCACTGAAGAATTGGGGGTTACCACAGCTGGATTGCTATGGTATGTGAGAATGTGTAATCAAGAGAGGATGAAATGGTGAGGGGAAGAGATGCTTTGTCGTCTAGAAATGGAAGGCTGGAGAGGTGATCATGAGCATTGTCTTTAAACGGGGCTGAAGGTGAACAAGTGCTTTGTCTCTCCCCTTCCTCCCTCCCTTCCTCCCTTCCTTCCTTCCTTCCTTCCTTCCTTCCTTCCTTCCTTCCTTCCTTCCTTCCTTCCTTCCTTCTTTCCTTCCTTCCCTTCTTTCCCTCCTTCCTCTCCCCTCCCTTCCTCCCTCCCTGCCTCCCTTCCCTCTTTCTTTTTTATTTCTTTCTTCTTTACTTCTTTGCCTGCCCTTCTGCCCTCCCTCCCTTGTATGTACTATACTTGGGCTGGAATTCAGGGCCTGGGAGCTATCTCCTAAAATTTCACTCAAGGCTGATGTTCTACCACTTGAGCCACACCTCCACTTTTGTTTTTATTTTTTGGTGGGCTAACTGGAGCAAAGAGTCTCATAAACTTTACTGCTTGGGCTGGCTTTAAACTATAATCCTCGAATGTCAGCCTTCTGAGAAGCTAGGATTACAGGCATGAGCCACCGGCACCTAGTTAAATGCTTTCTTAAGCTGGAGAGACTTAAGGTAACTTGCAGACTGAGGGAAAGGAGTGAGGGAAGAGGCAATAAAAAATTACCCTTCTGTCAGGACAGTCAACAGAAGGTGAAGATTTCAAAGCACACCAACAACAATCTTTCAACTTACCTTTCCCTGAGTAGTAGGACAAACCAGCCCTGTGCCTCTGGTGACGAACCGGCAATCAAAGCCTTTCCTGTGGAGGATCAAGGCTGCTTCATCAGAGTACCCACTGCCTACCTGCAAATGATGAGCAACATCAATATGCTACAGGACATAAAAGCAAGGATTCAGAGAAACCACACACCAGTGTTGTGATGCCAACATCCCCAAAACATAACCACTCAGCAATGGAAGGAGGCAAATTCATTTTTCCCCAGGTTCTACATTCACTGTGCCTTTCTCCCCACCCAGCCAGGAGTGATGTGTTCTAGGGTTGCTGGTTAGGTGAAGTAACTTCATGCCCTGGTTTCACCTGTCGTCCTGCGGACACAGATTTAGGTTCACATGTTACATACTGTTTTATCAAAGTATCATCAAACAAGATTTTCTTTCTTTTTTAAATGTACACATCTGTTACGTAAAATGCACCTGAATTTAGTCCTTAACTGGTCATTGAATGACATGTCTCATCTCTTCAAAATGAATTGTGCTTCCTTGTGAAATACTAATTTTTGGTAACTGCATTAAGAGTCTTAATCTTTAATGTACTGGTTCATTATTTTTATACAAGAGGCATTTACCTGGAATCAGTTATGCTTATCACTTGCAGGACCACCCCACATTTGTTAAATTGACGTATCATTTAAATTCGTATTATAGAAACTATTCTTCCTGGGCAGACTAAACATGAAAAATAATAAACATAACCAGACATTTAGAGAGCTAAGTACGTATTTTCAGCAATATTCCTTGTATCCATTTAAATAATGATGCCACAACTGGTTCAAATTTTTTTCATTATTTTGAGTTAGGATTGCTTCAGTAAATTTCATTCCCTAAGGTAAAATATGCTTATGCTAATAAGCAAAATTAATTAAGGGTAATTCTTGGTGCTTTAAGAAATGTACAATTATTTAAAGGGAAGACGTGTTGGTGTTGTCAGCACTAGCATGATCCCTTTCTTCTCTGGCCACAGACATAAGCACGCTCAAGCTCTTGATCACCCCCACGAGGGGACCAGATTTTTTTTAATGTGCTATAGATATCTTTTGTGAGTAGCTGCCAGCATGTCCACCCCTGATTTGATTTTAACTTTCTTGAACAGTTTAAAGCTGTCCACACCTCAAAATTCTTGGCTGGAATAACCTGTGTTGGGATGTTTCACAGTATATTTTGCAGTGATGTTGTTAAAGATTTTGCTCAAGGGGAGAGAGAAAATATCTCTTAAGGAAATGAAAATAGCTTTTAAGTCATCACAGAACGTGATGCACATAGCAAGTTTAAAAATCATAAAGATTCCTAATGACATTTCAACAAATTTCACCCTGCCCACACAGATAACGGAAGAAAAAAAAACTACATAAGGAAACTCTGCACTTACTACATATAGAAGTTCCACAAAGAAAGCTGAATCAGAAACCCATTGGGAAGCTTGGGAATGGCTGTTTTTAGATTTGTAAATAGCAGTTTCACTTTCTGCAAAATGGAGCAAATACTTGTGTACTTTCTGTAAGCATTCATTGTGTGGATTAATCAATGGAAAATACTACATATGGAGGTCTTACATAAAGCCATGTAGAGCAGTGTGTACTAAGGGAGAAGCCAGGGATACTAGTGGATCAGTGCCTAGGCTAGGAGTTTGGCAGACTAAAATCTGGCTCCTTGTTCTGCAATGTACTAGCTGTCAATTTCAGCAAAACCAGTTTTTTTCTTTCTATAAAATGCAAATGGAATAAGATGAAGGAGCCATAGAAAGATGTGTTCTGTTGTTTGGCTTATATTATGCCCTTAGTATGTTAGCAATTAGCATTTCTCTCAATGTGATACAGTGAGTACTACAGCCTATTATTTTTTTTCTTTCCATATACTTTTTTATTGTAAAAATACTGTACAGAGGGGTTACAGTTACATGAGTAAGGTAATGAATACATTTCCTATTGAAGACTGTTACTTCCTCCTATGTTTTTGCCCCTACCATCCCTTCCTTCCCCACCTCCCCAACTCCTCCTTCTCCCCCGCCCCCGAAATTATAAAGTTCATTTTCAACAGTGTCGTGTACATTTCATTGTTACAATGGGTCAACCTGTATCCTTATTTAAGCATTTTGTTATATCCTTTCCCCTCCCCAAATTATAAAAATGTATATACACGATGCAGGACACCAGAATCAGATACAGTGAAAACAGGAGAAACACATAGTACACTATAAGTACTTAAAAACAATAGCAAGAAAGAAAAAAAACCACTTGTGTCCCTGTCTTGGGGTTCATTTTGCTTAACATCATTTTCTTGCTTGTCTTAGACATGTACTAGTTATTACAAATAAGGAAAATAATGGGACCTATGTTTCTTTGAGCCTGGCTTACTTCACTTAGCATAATTTTTTTCCAAGTCTTTCCATTTCCTAACAAATGGGTCAATGTCATTCTTTTTGATGGAGGCACAGAATTCCATTGTATGGAATTTTCTTGAACATTCATCTACTGAGGGGCATCTGGGTTGGTTTCATATCTTAGCTATGGTGAATAATGCTGTAATAAACATGGTTGTGCTGGTAGTTTTGGTATGACCTTGTTTGTGATTGTTTGGTTAAATGCCCAAAAGAGGGATTGCTAGCTCATAGGGGACCTGTATGTGGAGTCTTTTGAGGAACCTCCATACTGCTTTCCAAAGTGGTTGAACAAGTTTATACTCCTACCAACAATGCAGTAAGGTCCACTTTTGGCCATATCCCCTCCAGCATCTTCTGTTACTAGATTTCTTGATTATAGCCATTCTAACTGGGGTGAGGTGGAATCTCAATATTGTCTTGATTTGCATTTCTTTTATGGCTAGAGAAGATGAGCATTTCTTCATGTGTCTAATGGCCATTCTTATTTCCTCTTCAGAGTAGTCTCTCTTTAAGTCTTTAGCTCAATTATTAATTGGGTGGTTGTTTCTTTGAGGATTTGTTTTTGGGGGATTTAATTTTTTGAGTTCTAATATATTTTAGATATAAGACCCTTGTCTGTTGTATGGCTAGTGAAGATCTTCTCCCATCTGTTGGCTTTCTATTGATCTTGCTAAGTCCTTTGCCATGCAGAAGCTCTGCAGTTTCATGCAATCCCATTTGTCCAACCTTTCTTTGATTTGTTGTGTTTCTGGGTGTCTATTAAGAAAATTTCAGCCTATGCTAAGGAACCCTGGCCTTTCTCCTATTCCTTCCTGTAATGTTTTCAGGGTGTCTGCTTTTATTTTGAGGTCTTTGATCTATTTGGAGTTGATTCTGATGCAGGGTGATAAATACGGATCTAGATTTAGTTTTCTACAGGTGTTTAACCAATTTTAACAGCACCATTTACTGAAGAGGCTGTCTTTCTTCCATTCTATTTTTTTAGCTCCCTTGTCAAAGATTAGATGACTATACGTCTGTGGGTTCATTTCTGGGTTCATTTTCCTATTCCATTGGCCCTCAGGTCTCTTCTTGTGTCAGTACCAAGATGTTTTGATTACTATGGCTTTGTAGTAGAGTTTGAAATTTGGAATTGATATTCCTCCAGTGCTGTTCTTTCTGCCAAGAATTGTTTTTGTTATTCAGGGTCATTTATTGTTCCATATGAACTTTTGGATTGCTTCTTCTATTTCATTGAAGAATGAGGTTGGGATATTGATAGGTATCGCATTGAATTTGTAGATAGCCTTTGGCAGTATTACCATTTTCATGATATTAATCCTGCCAATCCAGGAGCATGGGAGGTTTTTCCACTTCCTTAGTTCTGCTTTAATTTCCTTTTTCAGGTTTTTAAAGTTTTTGTCTTAGAGGTCCTTCACCTCTTTTTTTTTTTTTGTCAGTAGTGGGGGCTTAACTCTGGGTCTGGGCTCTTCTGGTCTTGAGCTCTTCAGCTCAAGGCTAGCCCTACCACTGGAGCAACAGCACCACTTCCTGCTTTTTTCTGCTTATGTGGTACTAAGGAATTGAACCCAGGGCCTCATGCATGTGAGGCAAGCACTCTACTACTGAGCCAACTTTCCAGGTCCTGCACTTCTTTAGTTAATTCCTATGTATTTTATTTTTTTGTTGGGCTATTACAAAAGGAGTTGATTTACTAATTTTAGCCACGCTCTTCTCATTATTCGCATACAGGAAAGCCATTGATTTCTGAGGGTTAATTTTATACCCTGCTACTTTGCCAAAGTTTCTGATCAGCTCAAGTAACTTGGGAGCAGAGTCTATGGGGTTCTTTAAATACAAGATCATGTCATCTGCAAAGAGGGAGAGTTTTATGTCATCTTTCCCAATTTTGGATCCCCTTTATGTTTTCATCTTGTCTTATTGCCCTAGCTAGGCATTCTAATTCTAAGTTAAAGAGGAGTGGAGAGAGCGGACATCCTTGTCACACTCAGGAAATCAGACAATTATTTTCTAAGTGTTATAAATTCAACTTTCCCCCCTTTTTGTCAGTACCAGAGTTGTAACTCAGGGCCTTGTGCAGCTAGGCAGGTGCTTTACTAAAGCCACATTTCCAGATTTTTTTGGCTTCAGTTATTCTTTTGGATAGTATTTCATGATTTTGCCCAAGGCTGGCCTTAGAAAACAAGATCTTCCTATGTATGTCTCCCGAATGTATTATAAACATGTATTACTATGTCTGTCTTATTGCATGAGATAGGGTCTAGGGACTTGACTTTCTTTTTGGCAGGGGAAGGGGGGAGGGATAAGGGGAGTATGGACTGACCTGGAATCTTGATAACTGCCTCCCAATTAGGTGGGTCATTTAAATTCATATCCATAAACTTCCTCTATTTGGCATTGTGGACTTATAGATTTAGATAGGCTCTTATTTAAGACAATTTTAGAAGCCTTTGCCTCCTAAAGTACTTGGCTAGTTTTATTCATAGGATCATCTTTAAAACCCATATGATAGCAGGTGTTGCTAAAACTTCTGCAATACAATTCATCATGGGGGCGGAATTTTTAAGACACTAGTATATGACAGGGCAAGAAAATTCAGGAGTAAAACACCTCTGGAATTCTACTTTAGAGTTCTACAAAAGAGAAAAAGATCAACAATATAGAAGTAGAGATAAAATCATAAAAG